TGACACAATACTACCAATTAAATTATTTAGAATTAAAAATTAAAAGATAGATTTTACTAATTATCAATGGTTTAGCTACAGTTTTGACACCATCTGGGTGCCCTATATGTTTGCTCCTGAAACAGCTGCCCATTTTCCCTCTAGTTACGTCACTGCTTTTCACAGATACAACATGTAATGGTTATAACAAGAAAATCTTGCTGGTCTCCTGATGCTTGTTTTAACCAAGTTTGACTGTATTTATCTTTTTTCTAAATGAATAATGAAAATTCATTGTAATGAAACTGTGCAAATGTTTAAGTGGCTACCCAATCAATGGAGAAAGAGTAATCATTATGATTATATGTATCTTTCTTATATATCTTACAGATTTAGAAAAATTTAGCATGAATTGTATATATGGATGGTAATTTACTAGTCCAGAAAACCAAATTGTAAATTTAAATTATAATCTAAGCCATTTTTTCCTAATCTTTTTGGCAGTTCAGTAATTTAATTTAATTTTCTTTACTGACAAAACAAAATCAGATTTTTAGTTATATAATATTAGAGTGATGCCAAAAGAAGGTAAATAGCCAATAATAATAATAATTATAAAATTATTTATTGTTTTTATGGCTCCATAACAAAACAGAATGAAATAATAAATTAATTTCTATTATTGATATTCTAAAAATATATAATTCAGTAAATTTGTCAAACGGACTACAGATTTGGTTAGTTATTCATTACTCTATAATTTATTTTTAATGATATATTTATGAAATTTTTCTGTTTGTGTAGATCACTAAGATAGACATTGCAAATTATGATTTACTATATTTAATTGCAAATTGATATATAAAAAAAAATGGTCAAATGTTTTATATTGTTCTTAATTAATAAATAGATTTAAGGCATTTGAAAAAATATGCCATGATCAGAACTTGTTTGATATATATTTTGAGTAATATTATGATTGATTAATTTAATTGAATGAATGATTTTATTAGAAAAAAATTACTAAATTTTAATCATTTTTATCATCTTATAAGTTACTTCTTAAACAAAAATGGGCGTTTTTCTTTTAAAATGTTTGCATTTTCAGTTGGAAAATAGAATATGTTAAATATTTAAGAAATCAGAATTTTAAAACTAAAGAATCCATTTTTAGAATTTAGTTATAAAATTCAATTAAAAATATTTGTTTATGTTTATATGAAATTCTTGATTTCTGAAATAGCTTAAGAGCATAATCTCTAATCTTTATAAATGTTTTTAAAAATTTTAGGATTAGATATCTTTTCAAGCCACCTCCTGGAGAACAACATCCTGACCATACTTTTTACAGAAGACTTTATCCTAGAATTATTCAAGATATTGAGGTAGTTTTAATTAAATTTTATAATTCAAACTTTAAAAAAAGTATAAACAATAATTAATAAATTCCTTTATTATTTATTATATGGCATAGTTTCATTTCAACTTTCATAGCACTAAAATAAATATATTACTTAGTTATTGATTTTATTTGCTGTAATGATAACTTTTTACTGTTTTATTTATTGACATAATAGCATTCTTCAATAACTAAGAATAAGAAAGTTTAATATTCAATAAACATAACTGAAGGCATATTAACAATGATTAAAGCTTCAGTCTGTGTATACATAATAACAGTTCAAACATAAAGAGCAAAAATTTAATAGTAGTAATGGAAATATGATGTAAATATTTTATGACTTAAGCTTGTTGCATTAGAATTTATAGACTCTTTATTGTGTTCTTGTGTCTTACTTTAATGTAAATTTTAAATAATAGAAATAATAATTAGATATTTAAAAAGTCTGTTCTGACTATAATAGACTTTCTTTTTTAAAGAGCAGTATTGGATGAGGTCACAGACCTCTTTCTTCTCAGAGAGTCCTAAGAGGTCAAAATATAATAGGCATTATTAAATTCTTTTTATTATTATAATTAAATTTTTACAACAGCTGGATGTCCAAGACAATTAAGATATCATTCTATCACCCGGAAACCTGGAATTGAATTAAGAGTTTTTTTTATTTTGGGCCTGCTGCCCTTCATTGTGGATATGATTGCCTTTTTAGTGTCCTCAGAGTAGAAAGAATGAGAAAAAAATTAAATTTTTATATTAATTCCTTTGAAAAATTCCTTTTAAAAATTTTATTAGGAGCTGATATATAGATATAGAGATGCCTAAATGTTCTTTCATTCTTGGATGCTTACAGTTTGATTTTATAATATTTACAATAAAATGCTAAGATAGAAATTTCATTACTTTTACTACTAAGAAAATTCATCAATAGTACTGTTCTAATTTATAATTTATGAACATAAATGGAAGAAAAAATTTTATTGCTTGATAAATTCTGGCAGAAATACACCTAAAATGATATACTTTTTATAATCTGTTTTAAAAAGTTATGAAATTGTCAGATTTTTCAGTGTATCAGAATATTATATGCATGCAATTGTTTTTCTTTATTTTATTTTGTCATTTTAGTGCAGAAATATAAGTAAAAAAAACTGATCATTGAATTATTCAGTTATACTAAAAGTTTTATAAAGTAAATAAATAAATAAAATAAACTTTATAAAAGGTTAGAACTTTTAAATGATAAACTTTTAAGTTATATCATGGATTTGGATATATCATGCTTTATTTGGTTCCCCAATTTTTAAAAGCACTTGAGTTAATAAATTTTAAATTACCAATTGCCATTGAATTTCTGTTTGCAATGAAATATGGTAATTTATTCCTACCATTGTGCTTGAAACTATCAATATGGGTAAAACAATAAAGATTAAATAAGCAAAAAGGTGGACACATTGATTATCATTTATGTTACCTTTTGATATTAAAAATTGTTTATTGGTTTTAAGTACTATCTCCATATTTACAAGTTTCTGTGAATTTGCAATTTTACACCTTTATGTGAATTGACACAATACTACCAATTCACCTAAAGGTGTGAGATTTCAAATTCAAGGTAATGTGTAAGGAAAAGATTTCTGTATTTCAGAACAGAAAGTTCTAAAATTTTTATACTGTAGTGACTTTATTTTGCTTTATAGAGAATTTTTACTCCTTAATTTTATAAGTTTTGATGTTCTATTATATGTTCAGTATTTATTTCTTAAATTTTCAATTACTATATTTTTAAGTTTTATTGAAAAATATAAATTATACGAATTTCTAGTAAGCAATTTATTATGAAATATAGTACTGTATAATAAAATTGCAACTGATATTTTGTTTTTATATGGACAGTATTTGTCTTTAAATGTCATTGTTAAAGAAACAATAATGCTAAATGGGTGTTCTGTGTTATCGATGTTTATGTAAGCATCAATTAATACAATATAACCATGAACAAAATTTAGTATTGAAAAACTAAGCTTATTTTATCTCAGAAACATTTGCTGATGAAAGAATAGAGGATAGTCTGTGTATACGTATTACTAAACAGATTATACATAGCGTATAATCTATTTAATGAAAGCCCAGAATTTTTAGAACTGGGTTATATCACTTTTTTCTTCATCTCTTGTCAAGCACGTTATAACAAGGGGCTATGGTATTTTAAAATCTTAAAATATAATTTCAATAAAAAATATAAAAATTTTAATTTTGAAATTGAAAGAAATAATTGTGTAATTTAAAAAAATATTAGATGAAGTACAAAATAAATATTTGGATATTATTTATGACAGCTAATTAAAAATTTGCTGTGTATAGAAATAAAGCTTATAATATGTCCTTCAAAACTTTATAAATGTTATTTGTGTAAAACTAAATATTGAAAGAATAATGATAAAGTAATCTGTTCTGTATTTTGAAAAGCTGCATCTTATCAGAGTTTATATTGCTATATTGCTTTTGGATAGAATAAGTTTCAACTTTTTTTGATAAAATTATTCTAGAAATATTGTGTATTGGAAGAAAAATTAAATACTTTTCAATGAAAAGATTAGTATATAATTTTAATTTGAAATAAGGAATCAAGTAAAATATAAAGATTTAAAATTAAATCAATTTCATTATAATAATTTTTTAATTTAAGAAAAAAATTGTAATAAATTAATCAAATATTCACTTATTACAGAGTATTGAGAATAATTGGCGATGTGGACGTCACGTGTTGCAACGGATAAATTGCCACAGTGAAAATAGCAAAGGAGTTTATTGCTTACAGTATGATGACCAAAAAATTGTTAGTGGCCTTAGAGACAATACAATTAAAATTTGGGATAGAAATAGTCTTCAGTGTGTTAAAGTAAGTTTTTAAAAATTTAAACATTTTAATGTTAATACATAAGGATAATTTTTTAAAATATACTTGTCTGTAATTATTTTCATGAAACTGTATTGTCAACATTCAACTTTTAATAATAGATTCTGACTAGTAGCTTGAGTAGATATTACTTTTCTTATATGATAATTCATTTTAAAGATTAATTCTTTTTTGCTTCTATGTCCTTACTTTTATCAGTTTCTATTTGTATCCTTGTCTACTGTGGACTTTGTTTATTAATAGGACTTATTACACAAATGAAAAATAAAGATATTTTGTTTTGACTTTTTGACTAAGATCTCCTCTATTTACTAAATGGAAACTACACCAGTGTAATAAGTGCTATTAATAAACAAAGTCCAAAGTAGACAAGGATACAAATAAAATCCATTTTAAAGATTATTTTGATTTTATAAATTTCTATGCATCTCTATTAGAATCAGTTTTATTTCTTTTATAAACATTATAGTGTAGTCAGAAAACACTTGACTATATTCAACTACTTTATGCAGCATTCACTTATATCTGCTGAAATTAGTTTTCTCTTTTAAAGCTGCTCAAAACATATGTTAAAACATGATGTAAGTCACTTCAAGAATCTGAAAAATTTCAATCTTTGTTTAATGCATGGCTGTGTTAATGTTTAATCATGACTGAAATATATTACAACTATTGGTTAAAACAATGCAAGTATTTATTTTCTCTGTTTTAAGGTAATTTGTAATATACATTAATTTTGTATCTTTGAGTGTTGGGTCTGTCTTATATTTTGTGTATTTCTGGGTATTCTACATAACATAATAGTAATTTCTTAATAAAAATAAATGTATGAGTAAGATGATTGTATGGATTAGAATGTAATTTACTTGTAAGGCATAAATATATATATTGGATGTCTGATGAAAAAAGCAATTTTTAAATAGCATATAGAGCAATTTATTTTAACAAGTTATAAAATTTGGAGTTTTTAGAGCAGAAAGATAAAGAGAAAAATGATTAGACTACAGTAATTCAGTATCCAGATAATCCTTGACTATAAAATAGTGACCTAAAGTTTACATAAATTTAGAATGTTTCTGATGAATTGTAGCTAGGGTTATAACTAAGAAATATTGAACACTTAATTTCTTACTTCATTTAATTTTTTATAATTAGTGATAATCAAAATAAATAGAGTGTAACAGATAACTATATGACAATTACATCATATTAAGTTTGTTCTGACAATCTAACTGTGAAAGAATCCAATCAAGATTCTTTTATTCAGAATTTTTAGAAGGTTAAAATTACTTTTAATGATGATTATAAAAATATGATCAATGAAAAAATTAGTCAGAAAATATAAAAAGTTTTCTGACTAATAAAATAACACATATGTTCAGTTCCAACAAGATTTCTATTACAATAAATTTTTCATGTGATACCATTGATATGGACTACAATTTAATTTTTCACATCATTACATAATTTCTAGTATAATAATTACTTATAATATATACAGGTATCACATTTCTATAATTAAATTTTAACAAAAAGTAGAAATTAGTTACTATGCTTTTGTTACAGTGGAACCTTGCTTAACGAGCATAATTCGTTCCAGAACCTTACTCGTAATGCAAAACACTCGTTAAGTGAAACAATTTTTCCCATAGAAATTAATGTAAAATATGATAATGCATTCCATGCTGAAAAAATACTCAAATACCATATTTACTTGCGAATGAGACAAGGTTTTTATTCATTTTTCACTGATTCAAAAATCTAGGTCATCCTATATGTGCGAGCTAAGGATCCTTTGCGTTTTTGCAATAATTTCTGTGAACCATGTATAATTCATGCTGCCATTATAGCAGGGTGCTATCGAGGCCAAAGTGAATCTTGTTTTCAAAGAGATGGTATGAAAATAGCTGGTGACTTAGTAATGATTACAAATGTAATTATTTCATATTTGTTAAATTGGTATGTTTAATGAATATTTGTACATTCTGAATCATTAAAAATAAACTTTTTCCTGTCACATGCATTATAATCTTTTGGTTTTGCTACATGTGTATCAGGTGCGTGGAAAATTATTTTCTTCAAAAGCTGATAGCAGTCATTCAGGAAATACTGCATTTTAAATTCACTCAACGGATAAGAGGACGATGCTTTGTGGAGTGAGAGTGAAAAACAGGAAGTTTTAATGAAGCTTTGAGGGGCGAATCCAAGTAGACAAAAGGCAATAGTGTCAATAAAACGTGGTTGTTTGCCTAAATACGTGCATTTGATAATATTTTATTTGTGATTAAATAAAATAAAATTAGAATTGTATTAATAAATCTAATTTTCTTTATTTTGATCTTTAAAGTCACACCTCGTCTTATATGTGAGATCATCTTATATGCGAGTAAATATGGTATTTTATGTATAATGTTTATTCAAAGAAAATTATACATTATACATTGTTAAGGANTACTTGTGATTAGACAAAATAAAATTAGAATTGTATTAATAAATCTAATTTTCTTTATTTTGATCTTTAAAGTCACACCTCGTCTTATATGTGAGATCATCTTATATGCGAGTAAATATGGTATTTTATGTATAATGTTTATTCAAAGAAAATTATACATTATACATTGTTAAGGAGCATGAATCATCATCGTCTTTTCTTCTAGCACAGAATGAACCAATCTGGAATGCAAATTCGATTTGCAGAAAACAAAAAAAATCACAGACAATAGCATGATGGAGCATGCACACAATCCCTTTCCTTGTCCTCATTATGTGAGGTGCTCGTTAAGTGAGGTTCCACTGTATTTTGGTATTATTTTATTCCACCATTCTAATTGCATTATTTATTTTCTCAGAATATAAAAATGTATTGCATTTACTTTTATAAAATTCTTATGGATAATTATTTTAATACTGTATATTCAGAAGTTTTCTTATATAATTTGACTAATCAAAACAGGTTTTGACTGGCCACACTGGATCAGTTCTTTGTCTACAGTATGATGATAGAGTAATAATAAGCGGATCAAGTGATTCTACTGTAAGGTAAATTTACATTTTGTTATAAAATTTCAATGTTATGCTTGCAGTATATTTGCTATAATAAAATATTAAACATTTTAAAATATTTTAGAGTATGGGATGTAAAAACTGGAGAAATGGTTAATACTCTTATTCATCACTGTGAAGCTGTTCTTCATTTGCGTTTTAATAATGGGATGATGGTCACTTGCTCCAAGGTATTGTATAATTTTATTAATTAAATTTAAAAATTAATTATAAAGAACTTGTTCTTAATTTTATAGGATAGATCTATTGCTGTCTGGGATATGGTATCACCTACAGAAATTAATCTTAGACGTGTGTTAGTAGGCCATAGAGCTGCTGTTAATGTTGTCGATTTTGATGAAAAGTATATTGTATCTGCATCTGGTGATAGAACAATCAAAGTATGGAACACTTCCAGTTGTGAATTTGTTCGTACTCTGAATGGACACAAAAGAGGAATTGCTTGTCTTCAGTATAGAGACAGACTTGTAGTCAGTGGAAGTTCTGATAACACTATAAGGTATATTAATGTTTTTAAAATAATTATAAATTAATTACTTAAATTTTAGTTTTCATAATAGATTTTTATGTAACTGANGCATCCTGTGGGTGGCAAAATTTGTAGCTATGCCACTGTAAAATTAAAAGATAGATTTTACTAATTATCAATGGTTTAGCTACAGTTTTGACACCATCTGGGTGCCCTATATGTTTGCTCCTGAAACAGCTGCCCATTTTCCCTCTAGTTACGTCACTGCTTTTCACAGATACAACATGTAATGGTTATAACAAGAAAATCTTGCTGGTCTCCTGATGCTTGTTTTAACCAAGTTTGACTGTATTTATCTTTTTTCTAAATGAATAATGAAAATTCATTGTAATGAAACTGTGCAAATGTTTAAGTGGCTACCCAATCAATGGAGAAAGAGTAATCATTATGATTATATGTATCTTTCTTATATATCTTACAGATTTAGAAAAATTTAGCATGAATTGTATATATGGATGGTAATTTACTAGTCCAGAAAACCAAATTGTAAATTTAAATTATAATCTAAGCCATTTTTTCCTAATCTTTTTGGCAGTTCAGTAATTTAATTTAATTTTCTTTACTGACAAAACAAAATCAGATTTTTAGTTATATAATATTAGAGTGATGCCAAAAGAAGGTAAATAGCCAATAATAATAATAATTATAAAATTATTTATTGTTTTTATGGCTCCATAACAAAACAGAATGAAATAATAAATTAATTTCTATTATTGATATTCTAAAAATATATAATTCAGTAAATTTGTCAAACGGACTACAGATTTGGTTAGTTATTCATTACTCTATAATTTATTTTTAATGATATATTTATGAAATTTTTCTGTTTGTGTAGATCACTAAGATAGACATTGCAAATTATGATTTACTATATTTAATTGCAAATTGATATATAAAAAAAAATGGTCAAATGTTTTATATTGTTCTTAATTAATAAATAGATTTAAGGCATTTGAAAAAATATGCCATGATCAGAACTTGTTTGATATATATTTTGAGTAATATTATGATTGATTAATTTAATTGAATGAATGATTTTATTAGAAAAAAATTACTAAATTTTAATCATTTTTATCATCTTATAAGTTACTTCTTAAACAAAAATGGGCGTTTTTCTTTTAAAATGTTTGCATTTTCAGTTGGAAAATAGAATATGTTAAATATTTAAGAAATCAGAATTTTAAAACTAAAGAATCCATTTTTAGAATTTAGTTATAAAATTCAATTAAAAATATTTGTTTATGTTTATATGAAATTCTTGATTTCTGAAATAGCTTAAGAGCATAATCTCTAATCTTTATAAATGTTTTTAAAAATTTTAGGATTAGATATCTTTTCAAGCCACCTCCTGGAGAACAACATCCTGACCATACTTTTTACAGAAGACTTTATCCTAGAATTATTCAAGATATTGAGGTAGTTTTAATTAAATTTTATAATTCAAACTTTAAAAAAAGTATAAACAATAATTAATAAATTCCTTTATTATTTATTATATGGCATAGTTTCATTTCAACTTTCATAGCACTAAAATAAATATATTACTTAGTTATTGATTTTATTTGCTGTAATGATAACTTTTTACTGTTTTATTTATTGACATAATAGCATTCTTCAATAACTAAGAATAAGAAAGTTTAATATTCAATAAACATAACTGAAGGCATATTAACAATGATTAAAGCTTCAGTCTGTGTATACATAATAACAGTTCAAACATAAAGAGCAAAAATTTAATAGTAGTAATGGAAATATGATGTAAATATTTTATGACTTAAGCTTGTTGCATTAGAATTTATAGACTCTTTATTGTGTTCTTGTGTCTTACTTTAATGTAAATTTTAAATAATAGAAATAATAATTAGATATTTAAAAAGTCTGTTCTGACTATAATAGACTTTCTTTTTTAAAGAGCAGTATTGGATGAGGTCACAGACCTCTTTCTTCTCAGAGAGTCCTAAGAGGTCAAAATATAATAGGCATTATTAAATTCTTTTTATTATTATAATTAAATTTTTACAACAGCTGGATGTCCAAGACAATTAAGATATCATTCTATCACCCGGAAACCTGGAATTGAATTAAGAGTTTTTTTTATTTTGGGCCTGCTGCCCTTCATTGTGGATATGATTGCCTTTTTAGTGTCCTCAGAGTAGAAAGAATGAGAAAAAAATTAAATTTTTATATTAATTCCTTTGAAAAATTCCTTTTAAAAATTTTATTAGGAGCTGATATATAGATATAGAGATGCCTAAATGTTCTTTCATTCTTGGATGCTTACAGTTTGATTTTATAATATTTACAATAAAATGCTAAGATAGAAATTTCATTACTTTTACTACTAAGAAAATTCATCAATAGTACTGTTCTAATTTATAATTTATGAACATAAATGGAAGAAAAAATTTTATTGCTTGATAAATTCTGGCAGAAATACACCTAAAATGATATACTTTTTATAATCTGTTTTAAAAAGTTATGAAATTGTCAGATTTTTCAGTGTATCAGAATATTATATGCATGCAATTGTTTTTCTTTATTTTATTTTGTCATTTTAGTGCAGAAATATAAGTAAAAAAAACTGATCATTGAATTATTCAGTTATACTAAAAGTTTTATAAAGTAAATAAATAAATAAAATAAACTTTATAAAAGGTTAGAACTTTTAAATGATAAACTTTTAAGTTATATCATGGATTTGGATATATCATGCTTTATTTGGTTCCCCAATTTTTAAAAGCACTTGAGTTAATAAATTTTAAATTACCAATTGCCATTGAATTTCTGTTTGCAATGAAATATGGTAATTTATTCCTACCATTGTGCTTGAAACTATCAATATGGGTAAAACAATAAAGATTAAATAAGCAAAAAGGTGGACACATTGATTATCATTTATGTTACCTTTTGATATTAAAAATTGTTTATTGGTTTTAAGTACTATCTCCATATTTACAAGTTTCTGTGAATTTGCAATTTTACACCTTTATGTGAATTGACACAATACTACCAATTCACCTAAAGGTGTGAGATTTCAAATTCAAGGTAATGTGTAAGGAAAAGATTTCTGTATTTCAGAACAGAAAGTTCTAAAATTTTTATACTGTAGTGACTTTATTTTGCTTTATAGAGAATTTTTACTCCTTAATTTTATAAGTTTTGATGTTCTATTATATGTTCAGTATTTATTTCTTAAATTTTCAATTACTATATTTTTAAGTTTTATTGAAAAATATAAATTATACGAATTTCTAGTAAGCAATTTATTATGAAATATAGTACTGTATAATAAAATTGCAACTGATATTTTGTTTTTATATGGACAGTATTTGTCTTTAAATGTCATTGTTAAAGAAACAATAATGCTAAATGGGTGTTCTGTGTTATCGATGTTTATGTAAGCATCAATTAATACAATATAACCATGAACAAAATTTAGTATTGAAAAACTAAGCTTATTTTATCTCAGAAACATTTGCTGATGAAAGAATAGAGGATAGTCTGTGTATACGTATTACTAAACAGATTATACATAGCGTATAATCTATTTAATGAAAGCCCAGAATTTTTAGAACTGGGTTATATCACTTTTTTCTTCATCTCTTGTCAAGCACGTTATAACAAGGGGCTATGGTATTTTAAAATCTTAAAATATAATTTCAATAAAAAATATAAAAATTTTAATTTTGAAATTGAAAGAAATAATTGTGTAATTTAAAAAAATATTAGATGAAGTACAAAATAAATATTTGGATATTATTTATGACAGCTAATTAAAAATTTGCTGTGTATAGAAATAAAGCTTATAATATGTCCTTCAAAACTTTATAAATGTTATTTGTGTAAAACTAAATATTGAAAGAATAATGATAAAGTAATCTGTTCTGTATTTTGAAAAGCTGCATCTTATCAGAGTTTATATTGCTATATTGCTTTTGGATAGAATAAGTTTCAACTTTTTTTGATAAAATTATTCTAGAAATATTGTGTATTGGAAGAAAAATTAAATACTTTTCAATGAAAAGATTAGTATATAATTTTAATTTGAAATAAGGAATCAAGTAAAATATAAAGATTTAAAATTAAATCAATTTCATTATAATAATTTTTTAATTTAAGAAAAAAATTGTAATAAATTAATCAAATATTCACTTATTACAGAGTATTGAGAATAATTGGCGATGTGGACGTCACGTGTTGCAACGGATAAATTGCCACAGTGAAAATAGCAAAGGAGTTTATTGCTTACAGTATGATGACCAAAAAATTGTTAGTGGCCTTAGAGACAATACAATTAAAATTTGGGATAGAAATAGTCTTCAGTGTGTTAAAGTAAGTTTTTAAAAATTTAAACATTTTAATGTTAATACATAAGGATAATTTTTTAAAATATACTTGTCTGTAATTATTTTCATGAAACTGTATTGTCAACATTCAACTTTTAATAATAGATTCTGACTAGTAGCTTGAGTAGATATTACTTTTCTTATATGATAATTCATTTTAAAGATTAATTCTTTTTTGCTTCTATGTCCTTACTTTTATCAGTTTCTATTTGTATCCTTGTCTACTGTGGACTTTGTTTATTAATAGGACTTATTACACAAATGAAAAATAAAGATATTTTGTTTTGACTTTTTGACTAAGATCTCCTCTATTTACTAAATGGAAACTACACCAGTGTAATAAGTGCTATTAATAAACAAAGTCCAAAGTAGACAAGGATACAAATAAAATCCATTTTAAAGATTATTTTGATTTTATAAATTTCTATGCATCTCTATTAGAATCAGTTTTATTTCTTTTATAAACATTATAGTGTAGTCAGAAAACACTTGACTATATTCAACTACTTTATGCAGCATTCACTTATATCTGCTGAAATTAGTTTTCTCTTTTAAAGCTGCTCAAAACATATGTTAAAACATGATGTAAGTCACTTCAAGAATCTGAAAAATTTCAATCTTTGT